CCGAAGCCAGCGTGTATTTTACAAGGACTTGTGTCCTCAGTCTATCTTAGTAACTATATTTTTTGGCAATCTGTCATGGGTATTCTATACGGGCAGGTTGAGAGGGATATATAGGGTAAATGCACCTAGGTTTGTGAGCTTTTAGTCTTGGACCTTGTCCTGTCATCCACGTATTGTACTTTTCCGGTTCATATCACAGCAGTCTAACTAAAAAAACAGTTCAGCCTTATTTTGGACGCCATGTTTTGCAATTTATAAACATGACTTTATTCTTAATTTTGTTATTTCGGCACTTAATTTCTTTTCTTTTCATGTAGGTTTTCAGGTCAAGAATACCCCATGAAGCTATTTCCCTTACTGGTAGACTATTAGAGTACACTCCAAGTAACAGAATTGCGCCCTTAGATGCGTGCACGTTTCCTTTCTTTGAAGAGTTGAGGGAGTCAAGTACAAGACTTCCAAATGGGAGAGAGCTGCCTCCACTCTTTAATTTTTCTACTCAAGGTAAATACAACCTTAAAATTGTCTCTACTTTTACGTTTCTTCCCTTTTCATTTGCATGCTTGGTAATATTTATGCTTCTCTCATTCATCTCTATTGTTGTGTTGTCAGGTCTTGTATGTTTTCACTTCCTAGGCTTTAAAGCATGTTTTTCGATAGCTTGGTATGTGACTTTGTTCAATTGGATCTGAAAAAATGTCGCCGTACGCGATGCTCCTGCACGTCAACTTCGTCTTCCCCCTCTCCTTGTCGTTTTTCTTTCAAATCTCCCAAACTAAGCTTAAGATCTTTCGTGTCACAAAAAGTCTTTAAGGTTTTCAATCAATACAACACTTCCTCCTGGGTTTGGAGTGGGAATTTCGTAGTTCACCAGAAATCCTGATGATCTATCCTTAACCTATCGATCTATTCCTTTCCACACCAAACTACCAATCGCCTCTCACGCTTATGTAATATTTTTTTATGGTCTTTTATATGCTTCCCTGTAATTATTCCTGATCCTTCTCTACCCTCATGATCTAATTATGCTTCTCCTATTTCTAATTCGCCACCTCTCCCATGTGTTTTCGCTTCCCCCAGTTTTCAGTTTTCAGGCTATAACCATTTGGTAAAAAGTATATTTTACTATTGTTGTTCTCCATACCTTGGCTAACCCTGTCCTTGACCTCTGTTTTCTAGAGCTCGCCATAAAGCCAGCACTTACACAAAAGTTAATACCGGCACACATCCGTGCGCAGAATGCCGCCAACTCCAATACAAATGCTTCTCAGTCGACGATCGACGCTTCAACCGTAGAACAGCAGTCAAGTACAAAAACTGTTACGACGCCAGCATCGTAAAGTTCTGAGTGTGCTTAGCCTATCAACACCATTGTATAGAAAGCTCTTTATGTTCTTGAGCGTAAAGATTATCGCCAAAAGCGGTGTTGAAAGAAATGGCGTGCCCTTGGCAATCGTGTTGTTTTTATCTGCCATGTGATTCTAAGAATTCTGTATTTTAAACATTCCACGTATGAATTATCTGTTTTCATTCTCTGTATTCACAAAGCCCGTTTCTGTATCTGCACGTATAGAATAAACACGTGTGTAATGACATAACCTTCCTTTATTTCCTGTGCGAAGATGCCAGTCCCCATACGTCGAAACAATGTCCAGTACTTGTGATATAGGGCTTTACTAGGAATGTTCTTGCATTTGGATTCACACACTCAGAATCGCAATGTTTTGAATTTATAGATTCACAGAATCAAGATATTCAAATGCAATATTGCTAGTCTTTTGCACCAATTTTTACGATTGCACGATTCTTAACTAACCTTAGTAGCAGGTTTTGACGATGCGTTTTAAAAGACTACATTTTTGAAGATGTTGTCCTTGAAAACTGCGTGACAGATGCACATTTAGGTAAGTCCAGTGACAAAGAAACCTACCCAACCGTCTAGTCCCCATTTAATGTTACTCAATATTAAGATTTTACCCCTATTCCAGTACAATTATCTATCTTTTTATACTTTTACCCACTTGTATTAAAGTTATTTCCAATCATTTTCAACTGGCGTTGAACCCTCTTGGAGATTCTAAAAGCGACACCAGTCCCATGGTTTCATATAATGTTCAGTCCTAACTTCAAGAAAATTAGATCACTTTTTGATTTATAATTTGAAGAGAAATGGGTCTATACTCTTGTGTCGGTCGTTGTTCGCAGAGAAGAACAGTGACATTTGTATCGCGACGTTTTACTTACAATCAATTTTAAAGACTTTATGATTTAATTGCCAGCGAGTTATCATTTAACTTCATTTCAAGGCGAATTATTACATATGATTTTAAGTTTCTCTTAGTTCTCATTTCAGTTCCCTTAATTGGTAATACCCAAACAACTGAATTTGCAACTGATTTTGGTTCCTTTGCCTACCTATATGTTATATGGTAGCTCGCTGTTTTAATTCTCTTGTATTGAAGTAGTTAACTTTCTGTTTCACCTTAAATCTATTGCAACATCAGGCAAGGTTTACAGTTTGATGTCCCACTCCGGAATTAATCTGAACAGACAACCTTGACTTTATTCAATCAGGCAAAATTATGTTTTTTGACTTTTATTTTTTACCCCTGACCTTTTTCATTTCAAATTGACACAGGTTTTTGCCGTTTCAAATGTTTTATGCCCCTCCAGTCATTAATTAAAAAATGACATAAATTTTACCCCGATAAAGGAGACAATGAGCTGATGCAATCTAAAAATTACAGCCACTTTGGCATATTGTCAAAGCCCTATGTTCTTGTAGATAATGTACATAGTAATCGGTATGTGAGATTCTTGTGCAAATTTGTCAATGTTGATTCCGCTAACAGCACCCTTAGGCCATGTAAGGTTTTTTAATCTGTTCGTTCATGTGTTAATTGCGACTTGTACAGAGATAGCTCAGCTGCAATGCGGCTTTCGCCCTCTTGCTAGTCGTACGTAATACTCGTTTTGTCGTTGCTATTAAACTAATAAAATTTGCCAATAAGTCGTTTAGAACACGCTGGCTCATTTTCCGTTGTCGTGGCCGTAACAAATGCCCCCCTCCCCCTTGATATTTCGCGGGTGCCATCAAATATAGGAAGTGAATTTTCCCTCCCTTTTGAACCAGTAGATTAGTTTCCCCAGTGTGAATTTTAGCTTATGTTGTATCATGGGTGTTTAAAGCCGTGTTTGATGTAGCTTTAAAAAAGAAAACCAAATAAAACCTCTCATTGACTTAGTGACTGTTGGGCTTTCTGCCCACTAGCAAGCATAGAATTAATGTTGTCTGTTTTGCACTCCGAAGCTGAATATCCGAGTAATTTTCTGCCAATATATTAACAATCTAAAACTTAAAACACTATAATTTTTTAAAGATATCGATTGATATTTAGCGAATTCTGACAAGCAATAATTGATACCCATATGTCACGTTCTGATGTCGAGGCTTTGGGTTTCGCTTGCCCTTCGAATGCTCCATCCAGTGGTCTTAAATTCTTTTCATCAGCCATTGTATGCTCATGGGATACTTTGTTTATTAATTAAGTTAATAATCTCGTGTGTCAATAAACCTACTTATCGTCGAGTTGAATAGATTAAATGAGGAGACTGTGTTTTCATCAAAACCAGAAATTTAACCTGCTTGTAAAATGTGATGGTTTCTTGGTAAAATTCAAAATTGTAAATATTTCATCACGAAGCTAGTCTTTTGATTTTTTTCATATATTTACTTCTCAATCCAAAGTTTTTTTTCCTTGTGTCTCCTTTCTTTGTGTTTTGTAAATATTCACTAGCTTAAGGTTTTTCAACTTTGTTGATCCACAGCACAATTTTAATTGAAAAAATATCAAGGCACACCACAAACAGAAAATTTGACGATGTTTATTAAGTAGCGGATAATTATAGTGGTAAAGCATTGAGCCTACCTTATGGTTGAGGTTAGACAACCTTAAATTTCGATGAGGTATTTTATCAGTCAGTGCCTGAAAAACCTTTCATTCAATCAAGAGGGGGAGGGGAAGGGAAGGGGGGAAGGAGAGGGGTGGGGAGGGGTTGGTTTACGTTATCACTTATCTGTTAAGACTATGATTTTCAAGACACCGATTCACATACCTTGTTATTACAAAATCAGTTGTTACGAAACCACAAGCGCCACCAAACAAGGAAAATGACGTACAGAATGAGAAAATTGAAATGCAGCTGAAGAAGATTGTAGCTGTCTGGAGACACTTGGCGGACAAGCTTGGGAAAGAGAAGATAAGAGCCAGTAACGAGTAACCGCGTTATAATCTTTATATGCTGCTGTTTCAAACATGAATTGACAAAGCATTGTTTAAAATAAGGTTGTAGAAACTCGTAGAGAAATACAATGCAAACGGCTTCAACTTGACAAATTAGTTATCTATAGTTAACGATCAATGGTTGTCTACCGTGTTACCCCAAAGCGTGCACATCCGCGAAGTTTCTATCGCTCTGAATGAGTAAGATGCATAAAATACTGTGTTTAAAAGCTGGGTTAAATTAATGGGCATGTGTCGGGAACCTGATTGGCTAACGCAATATAATTATCTGTTCTGTTTGGCACGAGATCGAGGTAGAATTTTCACGGCAGCAAAAATTCATGAATCAAAAAATAAAAAGACACGAAACAATTGAATTCCAATCTAAATGTTTTTGTTGTATTAAGTCGCATTTACACGAGCAAGTTTTCCTTAACAATTTTTCTTTGAGAAGTTAATTTTGCTCGTGTAGATTTGGGTGTATTGAGAAAAGTGACAATTTTTTACTTGACAAGTGTACGTGTTCAAAAGCTGGCGTGCCAGTATTTCAGCAAGTTTACTTGTCAAGTAGAAAATTGTCATTTGCAAAACCTGTCCGTGTAGATGACTTGACAAGTAAACTTGATAAATTTGACTCAATTCCAGATCTTTCTATTCTTGGCCGATCAAGAAACAATTGATACCTAAATTCTTAAAGTTAGCCGTATCAAGTATAAATGTTAAAGGAAGAAATTCCAGGGATTTCCCACCCACGAATAAAAGTATCTTCTTCGTTTAAGGAGCTATTTTTTGCAAGAAAATTTGACGATTGTCAGAGCAAATAGATATTGTGAACGAGACTTGTTGTCTTTCTACACGAGCAATTAAAAATTGTCAAGTAAAAAACTGTCAAACAAAACTAATCTAAAAGCTAATCTACAAGGGCAAGCAAACTTGCAAAGGAAAATTACCAAGAAATAATTGCTCGTGTAGATGCGGCTTTAGCCAGCTGTCACCGCGTTACATGCCCTTTAACGTACATTACTATATTCAAAATCTATGACACATTACATTAAAAGCAGAGTACCAAATTTCATATGCACCAAACATCGTTAGCCGGCCACCACTTAGGCTAAGTGACTAAGCATGAATGAGAATATGTGCTTATGCGTTTGCAATCTTATTAACTTATTTACCTTGGCGAGGCTCAACAAGATGAACTCCAGAGACAGTATAAGCTAATAAGTGTTAGGTGCGAGAACTTGTTCAACGAATAGCAGCAAATAAGCATTAGGCTGTTAGCTGTTAAAATCCATGCAGCAAGTTACCCAAATATCGTGTGTAAGTAACATTTCAAACTTTCAATTGATACTCTCATATTCCAGTGTTATTTCATTCTTGTGAATGTCACGCCATTCAGGTGCTTTCCATTAGCGTAAATTGTTTTGCTTGTGTTGATTTTGTCGTTGGTGTTGTTGTTGTTGTTGTCGTCGTTCTTGTGAATAGCCGTGCCATTTCGTACTACGTCGTTCTTTTCGATGATCGGCAGAAAATGGTAATATATCTAAAATGATAAATAAAGTAGTCATGGGTGACCACACGTGATAAACAAATTTACAACATTAGGGTCAATATTAACTATTTCTAGTTCATTAAAATACTAACTACAACTTCAAGCAAAATATGAATACTAGCGGACAAGAATATTCGAAAGGTATGCTACAAATTATGGTCCTTCCATTAGCCAACTAAGAAAACTTTATGCGACGAATTTAAAGATAAATCGATATTGTTTTCAAAATCGCTATTAGTGGCAAGTTAGATGTCCGCTCAGCAATTGATTATATTAGCTAGTGAGTGCCTAACATGTACCAAAATAACGAATGTGATTTTTCATACTGAAACCTACAAACTTTATTGATATTTGTAACTTTTGGTCTATCAAGAGAAATGGGTTTATCAAGAGAACTGAGCCTTCTAAACCCCCTCGATCAAAATGTCACTCGCCAGATTTAAAAAAACTCGTTTTCCGAACATCTTTAGAAACAAAATGAAAAATCTGCAATAAAAATGAAAAAATCTCCAAAGATACTGAAACTATCTTGAATATGCCTTGACGTACCTTTAATAGAGGTTGGTGACCAAGACACTTCAATCTGAGATGAGAGCTGTAGAGAGAGCCACAAAATTACTTCTTTTCAAAATCCTTTTTCATTGCTCATGATTCGTAGCTAAGAAATATTTCACTAACAGAACTACGCAATCAGAAAAGAGCACAGTGGGTACTGGGTCGGCAAGTTGTTTTCAAAAGAAGTAGTTGCAGGTCTTTGTCACTGGGTAACCGCCCTGGAGGATTCCCACCTCCCAAAGTAAAGTAGGCACATTTTGGATCAAAGTTACCTTTGTAGTTCCAAGTGTAGAAAGATGCTCTTTGTAGAGAGCTGCACAATACTTTTCGGTCTTGAATAGATACCCCCTCTATTGTTCAGAAAAGTTTTACGACCCCCCGCTCATATCAAGAACCCCCGCTTATTACTTTATTATTTTTCTTCCATTAAAACAGGGAAAGAAATCACTTACATAACTTGAACAGTTGTGTTTGGCAAACCCCGTTATAACTGCGTTGTCTCGTCTGCATGATGTTTACAATCTTATTTATCGTTGCTCTTATAAATTGAAAAAATGTCCCCCTCCCCGGTGATTCCGTCCCCCGCCTGTTACATCAAAGTGAGTTTTCCAAACGCCCATCCCCCGACTATTCGGGACCGAAGAGTATTTGGTTTCGAAGAATAAGGAAACAACCCTCTTCTAAAGGCAAATCCACATAAAATATCAAGTAAATTCAATGCAGGCTGGTTTTACCTGTAAAGTACAGAAATATAAGTGCCCCCTCCAGCAAGGGTGTGCCACCAAGCATGTAACTGTGTCACTGGCTTCACAAATTCTGGCAACAATGCTCTTGCCGTCCTACAATGAAAATCCCCAATTGACCATTTTTTATCTGCTCGGAGCAAAATACACAGTAGAACTTCTAGTAAATAACAACACGACAAAAAATGGACAAACCTGGTATTTCACAAGAAAGAAATGCAAATATTTAGTCACGAAACAACTCTAGTTTTCTTTCACAACTCCAGCCTGAGGTAAGGCCAATAAATCGCACAGTGTTTAAATTAATTAGATAATGTGGACTTTTTAAAGCTCAGTAGCAAAAAATTCAGGGAAATCCGTTTTAAATTATTCATACACAAAGCTTTTGTCGATTAAATGCTGGTTTTACAATCGGAAGTGTTAAAATCTTTATTACCAAAAGATATCATCCAATTAAATCCAATATTTGAAACTAAATTGCAATAAATAATGAATAAACACATGTTTTTGATAAGGAAAAATTTTCCCAAAATATAGTCCTCTTTAACTGGAAATTGAGAGGCATTCACAGAAGGGATCGAACTTTACATCCTCAAGCAAATCTTTGCCAAAGGACAAACACCGGAAAATTTCTAAATGCTTTCAGTTCCGGAGAGGGGGGGGGCAGATAAATCTACAATCCCTACAAAAGGAAATGCTCAATATGGATGGGGCTAATAAAGTTTGTAAATATTTGTCTGATTAAGAGCATCAAAATATTTTTTTACTTGGCAAAAGGTTGTGTGATCGCAAAAACAACATTGAAACCCTTTCTCCGACCACCTTATAAAAAGACTTTAGAAATAGCAAGTAATTATAATTTGTGGTTCCACCGATAAATGATATAGCAAAAAACGTTTAATTCTAAGTTACGTAGTAAATTCAAACAAATTCTGGAAGGGCAAAGACGGTCTCTCAAATCAAAACCTAAAGACTTTAAAAATCAGTGATATTCTAGCTTGGTATCTTGTTTTAGTATGTTAAGCGAAGAAAAGCTCAAAAACACGTATGCAAAAGCAGTAAAATCAAGTAGACCAGAAAACAAGAGATTTGGATACCTAATTTGCGGACAGAAGTTGTTGTCGATATTCCAAAGAATGAATCCAAAACCATAGCTGAAAATATTGTATAGGTTTATGAAGAGACAACTTTCGTTTCAAAACGCAGCCTAAATTATGCAAGTGTTGTGGTATTGTTAATACATTTTTTACAAACATAATCCTGTTCTATGAAATGTAGAGCAGAATCGTACATTCTTCAAATACTGTAGATAGACAGAGCTGTGCTTAAAAGAAAAGGTTTAACAACAATCAATAGAGCAAAAATCAAGCTTTCAAAATTTGCCCACGAGGAGCAAATTACTTGAGGCGCTTTAATCTAACATCTTCTTATACAATACATTGGTAAGACTACATCTATATTTAAAGGCTGTAGTCAATTGATTTTCTATTAAGGGTAGAACAACAGGGGGACTGGGATGACATAACTGCAGAATAGAATCTCTATTCTGTGACATACCCACACTTTGTCAGGGTTGTTTTCTGATAGTCAAAAAGGAATGGCATAAATATTTGGATTTGTCACACCATGAATGCTAAATAACAGTTTTTAGAAAATTAATCACCATACTACAATTTTCCATACAAGAATCAGAAACTGGAAAATAAATTGAAAATAAATTGGAATAGGCATGTTATGAAGCAAATTGACTTTCCTGGTTGCTTTATAATTCACGATATCGTTCGTGCGGAATACAAATATACGACGAAAACCATGAAACATGCTTTTCTTGCCTTGTAAAATCTAATTGTGAATGTTATTTACATTGATACCCTCGAAAAAATTTTCTGTTAGCTTGACAAATGTATTAACAACAACAAATCAAGCCAAAGTAATTCAAAACAAGAATTTTAAGCGACTGGTGTAGGCCTACCTCAAAGTTGACAGCAAGACCAATGGAACAGATCCATTGTATCTTCTGAAAGAACAAAATATTTTTACAATTTTTTACTATACTTTCTTTTTACTGCATTTTGCGTTTAATATTTGTTTAGTTTCTATTTCATGGTAGGGACAGACAGCATTCACCCTTTCGCTTTCTTGTTCCTTTTTCGATGGTCCAGCATCTGCTGACATGTATCATCTTTTATCTATTGTACTTATTCCTCTTTTCTCACCTCATGCTGGGCCTAGAAACTTAACTTGTGTCGTTTAATTAGCTATTATTATCCTTACTTGCAAAATGTGTTACCTTTTGTTCTTTTGTTTTGCATTCCTTATTTTACGCTCCGAATGTAAATGAAGGTTATGACTATGTTCTGAAGAAGCATATCGCGAAACGTTAATCCAAAAGTGCTATCACTACGCCATACTACGTACATATACAAATGCCAAATGAACTTACTTGCAATTATAAAAGGTTAGGCCAAACAGCGATCCAGCTAATATGCCATATGACCACTAGGATAAATTGACGACTGAATATGAAACGTAGCAAAAACAGCGATTATAGGAAATTTAAATTTTTGCTAAGGGATTTCAATTCGTTGCCTGATTCCTACTCGCTTATCCTCAGTCCCGGTGGGAACAGTTGCAGGCATGAGCCATTACTTGCTTGCCAGATAACCGAAAACTTGTGTCTATTGCTTACACAAATTTGTTACATAAATTATCAATAGGACAATGCAATGATGAACTTAATCAAAAAATCCAGATACAAATTTATAAGCGAATTTGAAGGAAGAATTTACAAGAAGTTTAAATATGATAGTGACTAATTATGATATAACCAAATATAATAGTGACTTACTTGGAAAAATAAAGGGTTCTGTACTATAACATACATCTGAAAAGAAAAGAAAATACAGGTTTTTTTCTAAGAAAATAGACCATAAAACACAGCGAAATTAAAGTAATACAAACAATACTTTTATAAGTAAAAACATATCACGCCTTTATGCATAAAATCTTTTAAATATAAAGAAAAGGTATAGATAGTCTAAAATAAGTTACCAGGGACGATAAGAATAGCCCAATATCAAGTTCCAGCTTATCGTATATCTTTTCTCTTTTTGTTTTGGTGCTATTTACTTTTAAAAATAGGATTTCAATAGGATAACACATATTGTGTCAAGGTTTACAAATGAACTGCAAACATTTCTGAAACACCAAATAGATCGATTTGTGTCACCTTTATTTATCAATGAAATGCAAGATTTATTAATTCCATCATTGTACTGTGCTGCAATACAAATTTCAGAGACGACAATGATGAGTTTTGTCAAGAAATTTACCACCTTCACGAAATAAAAATTTGGTGGAAAATGATCAAAGATTGGTAGGTTTGATTGCAATGACAGCATGAACAATGGCCTCTTGATTGGCCTTTTAACGACAGTTGTTTGAATGCAAGTTATTATAAGTATCAGACAATTTTGGTGTCGGATAAACGCTGAAAGGAGCAAGTGTGCCCCAGTGGTCAAATCTACAAAAAAGGCCAAAGACACGATTGCCTCTAATAACAATGCATGGTAGCAGCTGTTGGTAGCAGCACCTGATAAGATAATAATAATATAAGCATTTTTATAGCGCCATATATCCCAGGGCCCACAGATGCATAAAATACGTACAACGACCTATAAAGCCATTCTCCACTGACGCTTTTCTGCAGTGTTCGTTTGAAAAATTCGCGACTGCAAATGCGCAGAAAGAAAAATCTCGAGAGAAAAGCGTTCGCGTATCGAAAAATTCGCTTGACGAATAGTTGATCGAGTTTCTGCTTTTCGTCAAGCTAAATTATTCGAGGTAAACATAGGACAAAAGAATTGCATGATTTTCATTATAGGCCTTTGCAAGATGGCATTCTTACAGCAACCGGAATTTAGTGGCAGTGAAACTGACTTGCAGTTACGTACTGATATCTGTCTTTATGCAACTTGCACGCCCAATCTTTACGTGCTTGTTTTCCTTCCTTGTTTACCTTCCATTTGCGTGATGTCCTTTCCAATGTAAATATAACTGAATTTCTTTTTACTCATAAACAAAAATCGTAAAAGGCAGTCCTGAGAATCTTTGTCCTAAGAATCTCGCGCGCACTGAAATTTGATCGAAATCAGTGGAGGTTGGAATGAGCAGAAATTTGTACGAACGCTTCAGCGAATGCTACAAAACAAGCGTCAGTGGAGATTCGGCTAAACTAGATTGAAAAGGCACACTTTTGAGTGATTATATAAAATCTGTTCGATAGAAGATCCAAATACATGTGATTAATCAGTTCCAGTGTAAATGAACGACCTAACTGTAGTTTGGGCAAAGATTTACTCTGATCCAAGCAACTCCTATTGAAGCCTTTTATGAGAGTGCATAACTATATTATTGGCACAGAGATCTGCTGAAAATATACAATTTTGTGCAAGATAAAAATGTGGAATTATTCTGCAATTTACTTACAATTGTTGTGAAAACACTGATGACGAATAAGAAGAACGTCAGCTCTGTGTTCATTTTATTTTCTTTGCTTTTAATCTCAAGCCTTAAAATCATAAAAACAAACAATGCTTAAAAAAGGAATAAGCAAAGTCAAGGTTGTGCAAAATAGATAAAAGTAATCATCCGGGTAACTCCGTGCGTTGAAAACGCTTCAAGGCTAGAACTGAGAAATTCATTTTTCTCAATTAAGACAAAAACAGGACTGGAGGTACCTTGAAAAACATTCACAAAATGGTAACAGAAATCTTAATCAATCTGAAGAAAACTTACTATTCTTTGATTAACACCTAGATAGGCGATGGCTTTCACAAAGAACATAATTTCCATTGAGATAGGAAAACAGAAATAAAGATAACAATATGTATTTATTATTCTATCTCTACGATAAGATCTAATCAGACTATCTGTGATATGAATTACCATCAGCCGAAACAGATGAGTACAGACAAACATTTTTTAGCGTGAAGTCCATGAAGGCACTGAAAATTGCATAATTCAGAATACTTCTAAGGAAAAACTCTTTGAGTTGGCTCAAAATACCAGTTACCGAAAACACTCTTTTGAGTGCTCAAGGTGAGATTCTTTTCTGCTAGTATGCTTATTTCCATAACAACAAATCAATAAATTAATATGCAATATTACTTTAAAGCAAAAATCACTGTTCCATACATTAAAAGCAGAAAAAATTCGGTATCAGATAACACGTTTCGTATTTGTTTGTTTTAGAAATAAAGCGAAAAGATCTTCACGTGTTCTTCTTTGTTGTGATAATCAATATTTCATTAGGTTTCTTAATCTACGGCACAAGGTCCCATGTTGTATCCTTCAAAGGTACATTTCTATAGGGCAGCCTTTCCACTAGCCCGGGTTAAAAACAAAACCGGGTTAAAAGTTATCCGTTTTTAAAGCGAGTCGATGGAAACGGCATTTTTCTTCGGCCCGTTTTTATTCCGTTTTTGATCGTTCCCACTAAGCCGGGTTAAAATGTATTCAGGGTGAAATATTCGGAAATGTACGCGGAGTTGTGAGAGAAATCAGTATTTGCATCAATAATCCTTCAATTTCCATCGTTGTAGGCCAATAGAAGCAACATCGAAATCGAGGATCTTGTTTTTGATATTTGGTGGTTGCAAGTGGGTCAGAAATTATCCGGGTTTCGGCGTTTCCATTAACTCGCAGATGGGTCAAAAGATACCCGGATTAAAACTGACCCACTCTGAGACCCATTTTCAAACTTATCCGTTTTTCAAGTGGGTTATTGGGAACGCGACGCAGAAACGGATAACTTTTAACCCGTTTATGTTTTAACCCGGGCTAGTAGAAAGACTGCCTAAGTTTCAGTTAAGTTTGTTATTCAGACGATACAAACTTAAGCCCAATACCGTAAATTCCCGAAGTAGCCCCCCCCCCTTGGGTTTATTAACTTAGGGAGCTTTAAGAAGAGGGCATATTCGAGAAGGGAGTGGGGACTTATGAAAAACATCTACAAAGTTTGTACTTGCTTTGTAGCTTTTACATCATTTATTTTTTCCTACAATAAAAAACCCAAAGGTGGTGGCCAATATTAGGGGGGGGGGGGTTGTCAATACGAGGAATTGCAGTATCTGAGGAAAATTACAGCTAGGTGTCCTTTGTGATCTAATGATCAAGATTTAAACTGTAAGTTCGTCTGATTTTGAACTTCCTTTCTCCTTACATACATTAAATAAACAAAAAAAGCATACAGAGAACTGAGACACTTTGAAGGCTTTTTATAATCTATTTCGTAACTATTTAAGGTAGCTTTGTCAGTAGTGCGTCAGTATTTGTCTTAGGCAAGGGGCAATTCACTCTTGCAAATAGCGTACGAGACTTTCCCTAAAACAAAAGGATTTCCAGGGATTTTCAGATACAACAAAACGATTTTCACAAAAGGTGTACGAGGATTTCTTGGAGTGATTTGTCCCTCGGTCTTAAGGATAGATTTTTTTGAATAAATGAATATTTACACTTACATTCCATAGAGCAGAATACACGTCCCGTAAATCATAGGAAGTTCATCCATAAGCTAGAAGAAACACGTGGAATTAAACACCATAAAAGACGGAGCATGCGATGCCATTCTATTGCAAAGGCGAAAGAACAATAGCAAAGCACAATAGCAAGAACAATATCAAGGGCAAAAGGGGCAAAGAAAATAATATCGTAGATCAAAAGAATATTTTGGAAGACGTCCCACAAAGTACGGATAAATTCTTGCTAACATGTGGTCATTATCAGGGCCAAAAAGCAACAGTTGAAATGCCGAACATCAAGAAAATCATAGCAAAATTTTCACAAATTTGCGATAAAATGCACCATTTTTCTTGAAACCCAGTTAATAAATAAAATCGGGTTTCGATGGATACATTGCTATCAGACTTTTAAGACAGAAAATATTAAAAACTCCTTAGTGCTCATCTTGTTCTACATTAAGCTTGAGAATCTGAAGATCACAGTAGTGTCTTGTTACATACTTTGACTAGATGGATCTTTAGAGAAATTTCTCCTCAAGCACACATCTTAAATAGGCCCTGTTCTGCAGCTTTCTGTGCCAAAAGATATCGTTTTTTCCCTTCACACTACAAAGTTTTGAAGTTTTCATGCTGGTATCATATTTTGCACGATTTTTGTGCCTTCAGACCGGACAATATCGATAATTCCATCTGTGTTGATAGCTTTAACACTAAAGATTTGCTTTTTTGGCCAAAAACGTCAGTGGAGGGTCATGGTTCTGCATCTATGATCGAAATTATCTCGAGACGTGCTATGCAGCACTCCATGCCCTCTTCCCAAAGTACTTCTTTCAACCGCAAATAAAGCAAGATGGATAAGGGAAAGATTTGTCGCGTCAAATTTGCAGAGATGGCTCAACACTGTATCTAGGACAGGGAGCATTTTGTAAAAAGTATTGAAACTAAATAAAATTCTTGCAAAAACATTAGCAGAATCTCATTATCGTCTTACTGGCCACAAGTGGATAATACGTTTAAGTTTATTCTGAAGAAGGGAAACGGATTGAAAACAAAAAGATTAGCCAACAGGGTTCAGCATGGGTATGAGTCATCTTTGTCTTCATTTCAGGCTTGAATTTTAAGACATCTTCACGTTCTTATACGAAATGACGCCGTTCGCCAGAAGCGTGAACCAGGAATTTTCCTTTTGGGTGTTAACTCCGTTATGCCTTAAAGACTTTATGAAAATAAATAGCAATAATTATTTCTTTGAATAGAAAATCTAATTGTTTACTATTGTTTGATAATACCGTAAATACCAACATGTTGGATATAAAATGCACCTAGTCAATTCTCCGTTCTAGTGATTCTTTTGACCTATAAACGTTAGACACAATTTGTGATTGACAAAATAGCGAGGTTCTTACCTGCATTTTATAAATCAATGTACAATGAAAACCCAAAGATCCAATCCCAACAACTGTGAAAAATCAAACTATAACATAGTCACCATGAAACAGTTATATGATAGCACAGCAAATTAAAAAAACATGCCTTTGGCCAAATTGAATATTTTCATTCATAATTTCCAACATGTTATTTGCAATAGTTTAAGGCTAATTTTACAAAATTTGCAAACCATCACCTAGGTCAAGGATGTCAAACCAGGCTGGGGCAATAGCTGGAATAAAATTCGGGAATTAAAGTTTCCTGAGGTTTTACCGTGTAAAGTCAACTCTACTTAACGTCACACTGCTTAAAGTTGTACTGCTGTCTATAGTTGCTAGGAAATTTAGGCTGAATTTTGTAAAACCGTTCAATCAAGCTCTATTTACATTTATACTCCGCTTACTGTCCTATCTTATGAAAGCAACATTTGAGTTTATTTTAACCTTATAAAAGCAGCATTTGAGTCTACCATACTAAAGAGTGTGGTGGCACAAACAAGATGCTAAAAAGTATTATTTCTCTTTGAAGACAAAATTTTCTTGGAGAATAATATATGACTTGATATTATTGTCAAGTGACACTGTCCAGCTCATGAAACACAGAAATTACATTATGCTATTGGGTAATTCAAGAAATGAGAATAAGAAAATGTAAAAGAGGGTCTTGAAGAGACAGAAAGATTGATAAAAGTTCTGAATCACACAGTGTCTTTTGAATCTACGCAAAAGGTGTGAGGTTGTCTTCACAGTGTCCTAAAATTGCCTTTTGAAATATCTAATAAAGCAAATAAACCAAACATCGAAGAAGAGAATTTCCCATTGTCAAGAGTTTCTGCAATCTTGGGGTATCATTTAACACCCCCCCCTCCAAAAAGGGAGAAAATTATGGTCTATAATAAACTGTTATTCTAAGCAATATTCAAGCTGACATGAAACCAGAGCTTGATTTTATGGTGATTAAGGTGATGACAAACAAAGTTGATAAAAAGTAATTTAGCAAATATAATATAAACTGAAAAGTTATTGTTCTCATTAAAGTACACTCATAAAAATGTATAAAATTATATATACATATGATCAAATTTTTTGCTTTGGACCCCTTAGAATAACTTATTATGTGCAATTAGCCCAGTGGCCTAGTAATTCAAAATATTAACCTTTAAAATATTTCAACAAAATTTGCTCCATTCCTCAATATGTTTTCAGTAAAATTGAGATTGAAACATCTTAAAAAAGCAGTACTTTTGGAAATGAATCATTGAAGGGCACCATTGCTTGAAAACAATTGGAATAAAAGGGGTTGTTCATTGGAAGCAAATGCTTTTACAATTTCCGGATGTACACAAGACCACTAAGTAAAACATGACCTCGTATACACTGATATCAGTTTTGTTTTAAAATAATATCTCCTCCTGTGGATGACCTTCTGGAAATAAATAAGTAGTCATAGAGCTGAAAAATGTTACAATAAACTCACATCCAACTGACAAATATGATGCTATGATACGAAATTCCATTTTCTTTCTCCATGATAAATGTGCAGCAAGCAATGGTGGGATTATCATAATCCAGTTGCTAATTGTGTTCCCTAGGTACAAAAAGAAGAAATGCATGAAAACTGCTGGAAACAGGTATGTGATCGAAGATATTTCTAAATTATACTTCACATAGATTTGATGAATTCAAAACATTGCCAAAATGCTGACAGGTCAACTTGACCTTGGCAGTGTTGGTAAGAACAAATAAACTTCTGTGTTTTTGCTTCCACAGTTGTTGTACTACTGGGCATTGAGTTAGCTACCTACCTGTCACATTACAAACAGGGATGAAGAGCCAATGACTGTGGGGCAGGGGGCAGGGGTGTTTGGCCTCAAAGAGAATAAACGGATATAAAACTGGCACACCTACACATCTATAGGCAGCCAATCTCCATAAAGTCCTCTTCTGCCACCAGACATACCATACAATTATGTCTTTGGGTTCAGCTCATTGCTAATTCGAAACAGATAAAATCATTTTTAGAACACTGGGATATATGTCTCTGGGTTTTCTTTAAGATTCAATAATCTTAAAATGTGTTTAAAGCCACACAATGTAAGTTTATCCCCCACCCCTAAATCACTAGGTGATAGGTTGTAAGCTTGGTGTGATAGAAAAAGACAACAACCTTATTCTACTGATTCAAATCATAATCCTCTACTTTATTTGTAATTTACTGATTAATATCAAATGGTTTATTACCATGATTAAAAAAAGAATAAATTAACAACTTTTAATAAAGAATAGAACAATAACTTCTCGTAAGAAAAATTTAAAACAGCGGAGCCACATATATGGATTTAATACCGTATCATACAGATGTAGCCAAATATGGACCTCAGTTCCAAATGAGATAAAGTACTCCCCTACTTTACAAAAAATCTCAGAATTTACATCGTTTAATTGTACTTGTAATCTTTGCAAGGAATATTTTAGCAACATCGGTTACATTTGATTTACATTATATTTAGCGTTGATAATTTAAATTAGTTGGCTTTAATATGCATAGCTAGAAACTGTACCAACTTTAAATAAAAAAATAAAAAAAGAGAGAAAAAATTGCAAGTCATATGATCATTTCAAAATACCTGATTGGTCCTGTTACAGTGGGTGGGCACCCCCTGTCAATACCAAATGTAGCATGTTTCTGCTCCTGGCTATCGTTTTTAATTGATCCCTGGTTGCTTTTACTATGCGTACATCCCTTATTATTTCCATAGCAATGCATCCCTGGTTCCAGATAAATCCTACGTTTTTGCTTTTACTGTCCTAACTGATGCAAGAATGTCACGCTTTGTCTTTGAATAAAAACGTGTTCAATGTTCTGAACAATATGAACTGATTGCGTGAATAAACACCACAATACATAGACTTTTTGTGTGTGATTATCAACAAAGAATAAATCACTGCACTGTGACCATTTGCTACCAACAGAAAGTAAGATCGTTCGCATCTATTTGTTTTTCATATGACTTTGAGCTGAGGAATTTTAGCAAGTGCTTTTGGTCATAATTTTGAGATGATTTTTCTAGTCGATGTAAACTCTTCTAATTCTAACGCTTAACTCGGTTCTTCCAAACTTCCCTTTACAACGACCACAAAATACCGATCAAGCATCGAATGCCACGATGCGCATAGATAGTGAAACTATTTTTGGCTTAAAATCTTCGGCTGTTGGTAAAAAATCTTATTTCTAATTCATTAAATGTTTTCTGAATCCACAACAATGGAAGAGTTTAGTCAATCATTGAAATATCTAAACACTGCCTAAGCTACAGCTAAGAAGAAATAATACCCGACGCCCAAGTAACGAAATGAATGTAAACAAAAATACACGTACATATTGCGCTGACTCGGGTAATTCCACTTCCGTTTTTAACTCATTCATATTCAGCTGAAATTTAAGACAAATCGAAAAAACCGCCAAAATATGAAAACCATATGGCCTCCATGTAATCTGATCGGGTTCAGTTTTTACTGGAAATTTATGATGCAAATAAAGAAAACAAATCAACAATATGAATTTGAACTCACAGAACTCGGCAACAAACTGTGTAACGATATAATTCTCTTCACACCAGTCTAAAGTAGCAGTTGGTTTGCCCCAAATGCCATAGTTTACAGGAGCCATGATTACAGAGCGATATTTCGTGCAAACGTTTGCCTGGAACAGGTATCGAGGAATAACAACAAATGCGTTCTCAGCAACAATACGCCCCCTGCCAAATCACCAGACAGTTGAAATTCCTTTATTCAATTCATTGAATTGCTGGTTAACCAAATTTCATCGTAAAAGAATAGAAGCCTCTTTATATTGTAATAAGGTAAACTCCTTGGAACAATTAAATTGAATTCAAATTTCAAATTCATCTCAAAACTTCCTAGTCCTGTTTGGATGGACTTCCAAAATTTCTTTAGCTCAAGGCAAGGGTCATCGCTAAAGCACCATCGCAGGGGGATGCTTCTCACATTGAATGGTAGTGGGCGTAGCATGGGTGCGAAAAAGCGAAAAATGGTTTCACAAAAATTAAAATTTTGTCTTCTAGGCATTTTGCTTCTAGGTCAGCCTTCGTGCAGACTCTGCTAATAGAGAGAATAGCGGAATTTTCGAATTTTCGAAAAAAGACACTTGATTTTGTATCGAGAATGGTTTATTTCTACTATACCGCAAATCCTCGAATTGGCCCCCTCGAATAAGCCCCACCCTAGAACTACAAATTGTCAATAAGCCCCCACCCCTCGAATAAGCCCCCACTGCTACCGTTTATTCTCGAATTGGACCCCTAAATTTGACGGTTTTTGTCATCTGAGGTTGCCTATGGCGTTTTATTGAATTACCACGACAAATTCGTACTTTTAAAGAAATTCTTACTAGAATAAACAAGGTTTTAATCATGTCTTCTTATTGTCTACAATAATTTTACAAGACCCCCCCCCCTTCGTATAAATCCCCCTCGAATAAGCCCCGTCCAAAAATATCAAAGATAAATAAGCCCCAAGGGGGCTAATTGGAGGATTTGCGGTACTGATTTCAAAGTTATATCAAAGTCAAACACAAGATACGTAAAAGGTTGGCGAGGGTACCCGATATGATTTCAGGGAAGCGGGAATCGTCATCGACTGCTACAAAGAACGGTATTTTATGACTTTTTACTGCGAGTAATTTCGATAGCTTAAATAATTTGATTACGGGGTATTCTATGTCAATTTTGCTGTTTATGATATTCAGTTGTTTACGTAAAATTAATGTAGTTAGATTTGTATACTTCTTCCTACCATAGGAGGAGTCTATTTCTATTATCCCTTTCTTGTCATTGAGTCTGTGACGTCGTTTCTGCTATAATTTCAGTGTTCAATGGTCACAACTCGATTGATATTCGACAAAAGCAGTAACGTGACTTTCTCAACTGAACCTTATTTTAGAATTTTTGAATTTTAACCATAAAAGATCACCATGTGTTATAAACTTTAAACCGTGGACCGGGCTATGCAGAATTCAGCGAGAAAACATCCTTAACTTATATCAACAAAACTTTAATATATATTTAACAGGGCCCTGGCTCCTCCACTTTTTTGCAAAACAAAAGAGCTTTTGAAAAACCCTTATGTTTTGATTGTTAAAATCTCCCTTGCCCCCCCCCTCCCCCACCTTCCAACTTGCATCGGAGCCCATGTTCATAACTGAAATCATTTTACATCACCACGTGTTCTTAACTCTCTACTCCCTACTCCAATCTACCGTATTTACTCTAATATTAAGTATACTCTAATAATAAACGGGATTAGCGTTTCAACCTAACAAAAAAGGCGGGATTATTCGAAAGGCGGGTATATTGGAGAGGCGGGATTATTTTTTCAATGCCTTGAAGTCTAATTTATAATAATGAAAACATTTTTTATTTTATATTCTTCTACTTACAACAGTAACCTCACTTTACAGGTAGTTACTATCGGCTAGCCTGGTGACAAGTTTACTAATTTTACAAAAGTTATAACATTTAAATAAAATCATATGAGTGCAAAGAATCTTTAGAAGGAGAGCATAATAATAATAATCTACCATATTTATACAGGATAGCATTTTCAGTAAAGATAATACTGCTATCACTAAGGGTCCTGTTAAAATAAAGTTTGTAAAGTAAAAGGTTCAAAATTATAAGAGATTGAAGGTAAAGTTTGCGGATACCGTTTCAACAAAAAAGTCTCTTAAACATGATTTTGGCAAATCAGAGGAAAAAGTATGCAATTTCAACATGTATGGGGGGTTAAAATTAATTGGGGGGTGGGATATTTATTTTCACAGACAGGACAGAGCAGATATTATGCTTTATAGACAGTAGTACGAAGTCAAAGAATCAAACGTCTTTCTAAGCTGCGAGACTTGGATGTTTGATAAACTTGCAAAATAAGACAGCTCTCTGCCCTCCCCCGTCCATGACATTATCATGTGATTTAACCCATTCACTCTAAGCATTAGTTTCAATCCTTGATTTTCAACCCATACAAAGTGTGTAAAGAATAGCAAATGCCAATTAAAAGTTTCAATCCCCCATGCGAGATTACTGGGGAGGCGGGATTATTCTTACAATCTATGAAATACAAGCGGGATTACTAGAGAGGCGGGAATAAAAGAGAAGCGGGAATATTAGAGTAAATACGGTAATCTGATTTATTGCTGATGTGCTGAGTTGTAATTCGCTGCGCACGCCGCTACGCAGTACCATATGACGCAAACCTTACTTTACAACACCATGAAATACTTTCAAATATGCAAAATTAGTCAAAATTATAATATAAGTGCAAAATTATATGTCTAAAATCAGTTGAGATATTGCCAATGAAAGATTTGAAGTTTGTTAACGAATAACAGTTATTTTGGGTCTGTTCATAAAGTTATGGACAGAGACCCATGTGCCGTGGCAGAGCTTGCAAGGATGGCAGAGCTTGCAACTTACGTCACAATACTTATCAACCAATGGCTGCTTAGAACTAGACCTTCCAATTTGTCACGGGACTGTGACGTTAAAGACAGCACCATTCTTTTGTCCTTATTCCGGGGGTCTGTTCTTACAGCGAGAATATGTAAACAAATGACTTCGAACTTGAGAATACAATAGTGAAACTCAGAATAAATTGCCATTGCGCTGAATTTTGTAGTTATACAACAACACCAATAGACGTGAACGGACGTAAACCGCTCTCTTGCGAAAATTCAAGGAAAAATTTATACAGACAGAGTGATCTCAGTTTTAAGAATTCAAAGTCTTTTTTAAGAATTCATTTAGGCCCTTCCTCTTAACGAGATGTTCGTCGTTTATAGACTAGAAAACCTATTCTGCTGTATTATAATGCCGATCCAAGCTGAGAAGGTTGAGAAATGTCATTTCCCCCACTGCAGAAAAAGGCTTCAAATAACCAATAAAGTGATAACTAGGAGGAGGGCAGAGAGATGGATTGTCGCTCTATATTAATTTTCCAAAGGAATGAGTATTTTATAATTTTCAAAGAATTTTAGGATTCACAGTTAGAAGCTGCCTAAAATGTCCCTGCTTTTGAAGGCGGTCTATTAACATTCTGTATTTATTTTATACTTTTAAAGAGAAAGACCCCTAACCCGAGAAGCAAAACAATTAATACATGTAAGAAATTCTCCCAGAATATATTCTCAAGGAGTAGTTTATTCTCCATATAGTTTTTAAAAATGATCCAAATAACTGTAGACCCCAATTTTCGACCATATGTCACAAAATCATGTCGCTTGCAATTAGAGCAAGCAAAATGTAGCAATTTAATTGCAAATTTATTTGATTATAATAACAAATAAGTTTTGCGGTATCAATGCTCACAAAATTTGCGAATTGTAAAGAAATTTATCGGCTAAGAACGCTTGGCATTAGCTGAATTTAGGGAAAAGTGGGGCAAAAAAGTCAGAGAAAGCACCTTGCAAGCTATTTCTCGGACATATTTAGAAATTTAGAATAAGAAGCAAAGCGATTTTTTACGGCAGAGCCTTTCAACAACTAAATTTTAGGCCATATCAGTCAAATTTTTACGCTTGGTATCAGAACCTAAGAAGTCGGGAAGGGAAACGAATGTAATCATATATCCTCCCATATTCTTGAGTTCTGGTACACAGAGTATCAGTGGCGTAGATAGGAAATTTCATAGAAGGGGCAAAAGACTGAAATTTTCCGACAAAAATCTAACAAACATTTTAATCCCGCTATCTAGAACTCGCACGGGAAATGAAAATATAAATGAAAATATGAAAACATAGCGGGACTAGATATGGGGACCTGGGGTTTTTTTTATCAACAAGGGGCTATCTGTATTAAAAAGTAGAATATGAACCAAGCAAAAAATGGCTCATTTATCTCAAAAGCTTTCTTAATCATCAAGCTGAACTAAAGTAAGTCTATTAATGAAGTTTGCTATATATTTTGGAGTGCTTCTTCAAGGGAAAATGGCAAAGGACAATGGTTTGATGTCTATTGCTGGTGTCAAAGTAGCAGTAACAGAAGAACAGGGGCGGATCCAGCGTCTGCGTTTGGGGAGGGCCATTTATGAAAGAAGAGGAGGCCTGCGAAAATTTCACAGACACGCCCTTCAAAGTCTCACCGAACGCGGGAAACGCCCCTTTCTATCAAAAAATTTCATAAGAAGGTACACTCTCAGAACACTGAAAATTAAGAAACTTCATTGCTGCGAGAAACTTCCAAGCGAAGTAAAGGCTAAAATACATGATGAAAAATTGATGAACTTTGGCTAATCGTGTAAACACGCGCTTCTTTAGTTAAACTGATGAAAAACGGATATAGAAATAACTTTGGGGAAAACTGACATAAAAAACTGATCGTGTATTTCAGCCTTTACAAATATTCATATTGAATATTTGGTCAGCAGCTTTCGCGCTTGACTTGGGAGGGGAACTATGACGCATCAGAGTTCGTGAATGACATTATAATTCCTGTGTTCAAGAAGCCGGCATAAGACACGTACCCTTAAGATGAAAAAAAGATTTAGAAAATGAGCAAAAGTCCCCACGTATTTGGTGCGTATAATTTGAATGGTAAATTTTCAAAATGGGTAGTCACCAAAAATTCATCGCAGCATAACAGGCAAAGCTGAGTAGTTATAGGTACTGTTTTGCTTTTGTTGGAAATAGTGACGCTTTTTGGGTATCACAATCGCAATAACACGATGAACAATGTTTGAACTGTAACCCATTTTAGCCATAACTTTCTCAACCATTAACGTTTGCAGACGTCATTCATTCATGATCGCAGTCATGATTTGTGTTAAACCATAGTCCATATGAGCCGCGAGATCCGGTCACATCTAATTTTGCATTGAACTATTGTTTTAGGCTTATCATAATTCTTGTGTTACACATCCACTTGCAACTTATTGCCTCACTGAAAGCGAGAGAATAAAGCCGACT